TGCTGCTGGTGCTGAGGACCCGACCGGTGGCGCTGCTGCTGGTGCTGAGGACCCGACCGGTGGCGCTGCTGCTGGTGCTGAGGACCTGACCAGTGGCCCTGCTGCTGGTGCTGAGGACCCGACCGGTGGTGCTGCTGCTGGTGCTGAGGACTCGGGCGTTGGAGCTGCTGCTGGTGCTGAGGACTCGGGCGTTGGGGCTGCCACTGGTGTCCCTGCTGCTTCTGGAGACGCTGCGCGGCCGCGACCGTACTTCGTACCGCTCCTTCAGCAGGTTCTTGGTCAGGCTCCTCCTCCTTGTCCTCCTCCCTCCGTCGAGTGTCCTCTGCCTGTCCAGCCGCAGTCACAGTTACCGCCTGTCTCGCCTCTCCCTGCTCCCTCCCCTTACGCTGGTCCCACAGGAGGTCTTACAGAGCGTCGTGAGCCTGAGTCTCGTCCTGCGTCGCCTGTTCGTACTGCTCGCACTGGTCGTCGTGTCCCACGTGAGCGTCCTCCTCCTGTCCCTGGCACTCACTACATGACTCTGCGTCCCTCCACTGCTCCGCAGCGTGTCCCGCTGCCGTCTCCTCCTGCGTCCTCTCTTCCTACTCTTCCTGACCCGGAGTCTGACTCCCGTCGTGCTGCCAGTCCCACTGTTACGCGTCTATTCGCTACAGTTGTCACTGACCCGACCTTTGAGTCCTCTGCTGCGTCTGCCCTGGTCGCTGAGTTGGTTGACTTTGCTGCTCGCTGTCGCCTAGACTACGCTGCTAGCCTTGTCGCTAGGTCTGAGTCTGCGTCTGCCTGTCCTCCGTCCGTCGGGGGTGAGTGTGCCCTCGGCACGGACGTCCTTGAGGACAGACAGGAGGAGTTCCACTGCCTTGCTGCTGCTTTGCCCCGTCTCGTGTCCTTGCTAGTTGCCCCTGAGGGAGACCCGGATGCACCAGACATCCCGACCCCACGCTCTTACGCTGAGGCGATGGCGGGTCCCTACTCCTCTCAGTGGCAGACAGCCATGGACGCAGAGATGGCCTCCTGGAAGTCCACAGGCACCTACGTAGACGAGGTTCCCCCTCCTGGGGCGAACATCGTCAGTGGCATGTGGATTTTCAGGGTGAAGCGGCCTCCGGGTTCTCCACCTGTCTTCAAGGCGCGCTACGTGGCTCGAGGCTTCAGTCAGCGAGAGGGAGTAGACTTCTTTCAGACCTTCTCCCCCACCCCGAAGATGACTACTCTTCGGGTGCTGCTGCACATAGCCGCTCACCGCGACTACGAGCTTCACTCTCTTGACTTCAGCACTGCTTTCTTGCAGGGCAGCCTGCACGAGGAGATCTGGCTGCGCCGCCCCCCTGGCTTCACTGGGTCATTTCCTCCTGGCACCCAGTGGAGGCTTCAGCGGCCGGTCTACGGTCTCCGCCAGGCACCACGTGAGTGGCACGACACACTGAGGACGACACTTGCGGCTCTTGGGTTCGCTCCCTCTACTGCTGACCCGTCGCTGTTTCTACGCACCGACACCTCGCTGCCGCCGTTCTACATCCTCGTGTACGTCGACGACTTGGTCTTTGCCACTGCTGACACCGTGGCACTCGCCCACGTGAAGTCGGAGCTGCAGAGGAGACACACGTGCACAGACCTGGGTGAGCTGACGAGCTATCTTGGCTTGCGGATCACCCGGGACAGAGCACGGCGCACCATCACCCTGACTCAGTCACACATGGTGCAGCAGGTCCTCCAGCGCTTCCGCTTCACGTACTCCTCGCCTCAGTCCACTCCTCTGCCTACCGGTCACTCGCTCTCAGCTCTGCCTTCGGATGAGTCCGTAGAGCCGAGTGGCCCGTATCCAGAGCTTGTGGGCTGCCTCATGTACCTGATGACCTGCACTCGACCTGACCTTGCATACCCTCTTAGCATCCTAGCACGCTATGTCGCTCCTGGCCGTCACCGGAAGGAGCACATGGATGCTGCTAAGAGGGTGTTGCGCTACTTGTGCAGTACGTCGGGCATGGGGCTTGTGCTTGGAGGGCGAGACCGGGTTGTTCTCACAGGGCACTCAGACGCTTCTTGGGCAGACGACCAGGCTACTCAGCGGTCGTCCCAGGGTTACACCTTCAGCCTTGGCTCTGGCTCAGTTTCTTGGCGTTCTACTCGCTCTTCTTCTGTTCTCAGCTCCAGTTGTGAGGCTGAGATCTACGCCACAGCCATGGCTGCTCAGGAGCTACGCTGGCTGACCTACCTGCTGACCGACCTCGGAGAGCGGCCTCGTTCTCCTCCAGTGCTGTACGTCGACAACAAGGCTGCCATTGCCTTGTGTGAGGAGCACAGACTGGAGCACAGAACGAAGCACATCGCTCTGCGGTACTTCCTTGCTCGAGAGCTGCAGCAGCGTGGTCAGCTTTGTCTGCGTTACGTGGCCACGGAGGCCAACACTGCTGATGTGTTCACCAAGGCGCTTCAGCCTTGTGACCATCAGCGCTTTTGCACTCTGCTAGGCCTTGTACCTACTGGGCCTCACTTGCTTACCTCTTGACCTTACTTGTACTGTGATCACTATATATATATGCCTTCTTGCTTACTTTTGCTAGGTTGTGATCACTGTATCTCTTACTTTGTTATAAACCTGCATGTGAACTGGTCTTGTGACCGCTTGCTTGTGCTCGGAATTTGTGTGGAATCCTTGAGATCCACCCTGAGCTTGCTTTGCTTTGCTTTGACTGGTCTTGTGACCCTGTGGTTGTTTCCCACTGCGCCTATGGGGGTGTGTCAAACATTGCATGTTTATATTGTCTAGGCTGTAGTGGGTTACACCTTAGGGGGTACTCAAAGTTAGGGTTTCCTACTTGTACCAAACTCTGTTCTAGTTCATTCATTCCTGCTCAGTTATTTCTGACAATCCATCCACAGTAAATTCAGGGCGAACTACAAAGAATGTATAGTACCATGGCACACAAGCTAAATTGCCAGGGCAAATACATAGTCGTCACTTACGATATTGTCCATAACATTTTTTCTTCATCTTCTATAAATATCGTGGATGAAAAAAGAATTGCACATAACGATTGTAATAGGTTGCTTCGCAACCCAAAAAGGTTCCTAAGGTCCTAAGGACCTCCTGCTCTATACCATGTTAGATAGAATAGGTAGGAGTGGATGTTAACTATCGAGGGTGTTTGGGTACAAGTAAGAGAACCCTAAAGGGGTGTACCCCACATTGGCTACCCCACTACAGCCTACACAACATTAATTATGATAATATATATATAGTTTGACACCGTCAGCGATTCATGGGCTGATATTCATTAGTTCCTCGAGCCAAGCCAACACTGAACTGTTGATTTGGTGGGGCATGCGGTTTTGCAGATAGCCTCGACGATGATGGTTGGGGTATCCAGACTGAACCAGCTGCCGAACACATGTCGAACCAACTAGGCAGGCCTGGAAGAGCTTCTCGCGTGACAAAAATTGTGGTCAGGTCCCAACTTTCTTAGAGATGGGGCTTATATTGTCTAGTTAAAAAATTTGAGCTGACCCTACATGAACTGCTACACTACATTTCGGGTTGTCGAAATGACGCGTGCACGGAAACCGCGTGATGAAAGGTGGCGCGATCGCGTTTCAGGTTTTACAAAAATTGCCCCGCAATATAAAAAAATCACGATGCCGAAGCCTGTGCCGCGGTAATTCTCTCATGGCTTGCTGGATGGATGAGCGTAGCCCAGTGAGGCTTGGTGGCGCTCATTCAGGGTCGGTGAAACCAGGAGGTTACAAAAGCAAACACTCAACTGATAAAATATATTTTAACGTTCCTCATTCACTATAATGCATTCTCAGGGTAGATGCGAGATATTACAGGAACGAAAAGACCTCAGTTCCCCATCTTAAACATTCATATATTTACAACAATGTGCAGCACCGTACAAGGCAAATACAATATTTCATCTACCATACCGGTACCGTATTCCCCCGGACATACCACCCCCCGAAATAGAGCACCCCCCGGGTGGCTTGTGCGGGGGGGGTGCTATAGCGGGCCTCGTTTCTACTATACCCCCCCTTTTGGGGGCATCCTATATAGCACCCGGGGGGGGGGGGGGGGTGTTATGTACGGGTAAAATTGCTGTTTTTGCCTAAGTTGCACAGGGTTTCCAATGATAATCCATCTACAAGTTAACATTAGCAGAAACAAGCTACATATGACGCAATACAGCGCTAAAACTCCCAATCGAGGGGGTGTGATTTCGACCAATCAGGGCCTGACAGAGGGCCTTGTTGGTGCTTGCAATGTGGCAGCTAACCCTCGCGCCTAACATTATCGCCCAGTCCTCGGTTTTGCGCACCCAACCAACAATCTACCGTAAACGCCCGGATATAAGACAGTGTTGAATAGTAGACAGGGGTTGTCTACTATACGGGTGTCTCTTATAAACAGGCTAGCCTCATTATAAGACACCTATTTGTGTGTACGAGATAAGACATATATGTCTTATAATCGAAAATACAATACATGGTAGCGAGCGTTGAAATAACGCGTACATTTTTACCCTTGCGAAGCGCGAATTCTTCCACGCGCTGACCCAGGACCTACCAAATTTGCCTCTGCAGGTGTTCTCCATGACGTGGCGTCCCGGGCAGTGGTTGCCGAAGTGGCACCTTCGCAACATCCACACTCATTATGAGGAACTCTTTTTCAAGAAGAACGGAAGATATTTCTAAGTAGTTAAAAAAATTTCCATTTATAAGACTTATAAGACACCCTAAACCATCCCGTTTACAAGATAACTCAAGCATTTTTTCCCGTGTACGAGATAAGACATATATGTCTTATATCCGGGCGATGACGGTACCACCAAGGCAAACATGTACATTTAGTTCTGAACGTTTTTCACTATAAAAAAATGTACATTATGTAAAGACCCGGGTGCAATGTAGCTTTTTCCGATGACAAGACCCCCCCTTTTTTTTGTGTAGTTATCATAGCACCCTAGGGTGGTATATCCGGGGGAATATGGTATCATCCCATCCCATCAGTGATTAACTATCATTGGCCCCTGTACACCTCCACCCGCCTGTGCTTGCTCCTCAAGTTTCTCCCACACCCTCCTCGCCATGCCCTCATATGTTGCCACCACTGCCGCCTCTGCCCCACCACTCCCACCATCTGCCCCCTCCTCTGCTACTTCTCCACCTTCTGCCGCCCTGCCTACGGCTGCCGCACCTTCTGCCGCCCCTTCTGCCGCCCAACCTTCTCGCTCGCTTGCAGCAGCAGCAGATGCGCCGAGAGCAACGGGGAGGCCGCTGTCTGAGCGACTGCGGATGGACGGCAGGAGAGGCACCTAGGAGAGGGGGGAGGAGGGGAAGGAGGGGTGGAGGGGGGGAGGGGGGAAGGAGGGGAGGGGGAAGGGGGAAGTGGGTGAACGGGAAGGGGGCGAGCCGGGAAGAGGGGACGGTGAAAAGGGGGGGAAGGGGAAAGTGGGTAAGGGGGCGAGGTGTTGAGAGCAACGGGGATGCCACTGTCTGAGCGACTGCAGATGGACGGCAGGAGAGGCACCTGGGAGAGGGGAGGAGGGCGGGGAGAAGGAGGGGGGGAGGAGGGGGCGGAAGGGGAGGGGCGAAAGTGGGCGAAGGGAGAAGGGGGCGAGCGGGGAAGGGGGGAAAGGGGGAAAGTGGGTAAGGGGGCGAGAAGGAATGGGGGAGAGCAATAGGGCAGGGGGAAGGGGGTAAGTGTTGAACGGGGGAAAGGGGAAGAAGCGACAAAGGGAAGGGGGACCGTGGGAAAAGGGGGGATTGGGGAAAGGGAGTAAGAGGGGGCGGGGAAAAGGGGAAGAGGCGAAGTGGGGAAGGAGAGAAGGTGGGAAGTGGGAAAAAGGGGGAGGGAAGATTGGGTGGGCCGACGGCATGACGAGTGCAACAATATGTTTCATGATTGCGGGTTTACCGCAAGAGGCACATGGGGAGGAGGTGAGCAGACAGACACATGGTGCTGGTGAGGAGGAGGACGTGGCTTGGCAGTGGGTGTGTGTGCATGAGCACACGGTATGGGGAAGCCACAAGGATGTGAGGAAACAGGAGGACCAAGGCAAGTAATAATGAGTGAGAAGAAGGCAGGGGGTGGGGGGAAGAGGAGGGAAGGAGGTTGGCGGGGAAAGAAGGAGGGGTGGTGGAGGGGGGAGAGTGGCCAGGAGTGGGATGAATGAAATGCATGGCCAGGACGAACAAACGGAGGCAAGAGGCAGGGCATGGGGGAACACAAACGTGTGCCATGAAACCTAGGATCCCACTTCTGCAGGAAAACCTCCATGTCCCGGAAACTTCCAGGATACCCTGCAAACCCCAGCAACCCACCTGTGTTTTGAGACGACTCAAAACGCAACCCACCTCTGCGAGGAACTCGATCCCCAAGTCAGCGGCAGCCTGCCTGACCCCTCCATGGCCGAAAATGGTGGCGCGGTGGGAGCAGGACGGGCAGGTGAAGTAACTCATGTTCTCCACCACGCCCAGCACCTGTGTGTAGAGGCGCATGCAGGAGTGCAAGCAGGGGCGCAAGGCAGGTGCAAGGGGGGTTACAATGAAGGAGCGGTCAGGGCAAGGCAGGTGAAGTAACTCATGTTCTCCACCACGCCCAGCACCTGTGTGTAGAGGCGCATGCAGGAGTGCAAGCAGGGGCGCAAGGCAGGTGCAAGGGGGGTTACAATGAAGGAGCGGTCAGGGCAAGGCAGGTGAAGTAACTCATGTTCTCCACCACGCCCAGCACCTGTGTGTAGAGGCGCATGGAGGGATGCATGGAGGGATGCATGAAGGGATGCATGGAGGGGTGCATGAAGGGATGCATGGAGGGATGCATGGAGGGATGCATGGAGGGATGCATGGAGGGATGCATGGAGGGATGCATGGAGGGATGCATGGAGGGATGCATGGAGGGATGCATGGAGGGATGCATTGAGGGATGCATGGAGGGATGCATGGAGGGATGTTTATGGAAACTTGGCCAAACTGGAAAAATAGGATCTGCAGAAATGGAACCTGCACAGCCACACAAGACGAACCACTGTGCACCAGTTTCCCTGTGGAAGGTGTAAGAGAGGAGAGAAGAGGAGAGAGGAGCAGTGACCCCACTGGCACACTAACCACCAACACAGGCACACACGATCACTGGACCACCATCACACCATAGCAGCCCGGCAGAAGGCACTGACACATTGACTTGTCAGAACATTATCACTCGCACCGAAACTTACCCACCACGCTACAGCCTCATTACAACACCCCCACCAGAACACCCACCACCCCAGAACCCACCACACCGCCCCATCACCTACCATCCTACCATCCCACAACCCCATCACCCACCACCCCATCACCCACCACCCCATCACCCACCAACCCATCACCCACCACCCCAGCACCCACCATCCCATCACCCACCACCCCAGCACCCACCATCCCATCACCCACCATCCCATCACCCACCATCCCATCACCCCACCATCCCATCACCCACCACCCCATCACCCACCATCCCATCACCCACCATCCCATCACCTACCATCCCATCACCCACCATCTCATCACCCACCATCCCATCACCCCACCATCCCATCACCCACCACCCCATCACCCACCATCCCATCACCCACCATCCCATCACCCACCATCCCATCACCCCACCATCCCATCACCCACCATCCCATCACCCACCATCCCATCATCACCACCATCCCATCACCCCCATCCCATCACCACCATCCCATCACCCACTGGCACGTTGACCTAACGGAACATGGTCACTCCCCTCCGCGCATCCATCAGTGCGAGGTCCTGCGGTGTTGACACCACCACTGCCCCTGGTGGGGGGAACAGGTGGATGGGTGGAAGAATGGAAGAGTGGAAGGGGGGAAGGGTGGACGGGAGGGGGAATGGGAGAGTGAGAGGGTGGGTGGGTGGAGGAATGGGAGAGTGAGAGGGTGGACTGGTCCTGGTGCAGTGGACGGGCAGAACAGTGGATGGTGAGAGGGTGAGAAAGGTGAGACGGAAGAGACGATTGAAAGAGACGAGGTGTGTGGAAACCACCAGCAGTGCTGGGCGCATGGGCAGGCAGTGTGGCGTGACGGGCGCACAACCCCAGCTCCGCCTCCCCACTGCCACACACCTGCACTGCTTTCTCCAATAGTGCTGGCATCATACCATCCCACCCCAAACCCTCGCATTCCATTCCATTCCATTCCACTCCATTCCATTCCATTCCATTCCATTCCATTCCATTCCATTCCATTCCATCCCATCCCATCCCATCCCATGCCATCCCATTCCATCCATCCCATCCCATTCCATTCCATTCCATTCCATTCCATTCCATTCCATTCCATTCCATTCCATTCCATTCCATTCCATTCCATTCCATTCCATTCCAATCCATCCCCACCCATCCGAACCCATGCAATCCGTATGCCACGTACCTGACAGCCGGACCCGCCGGCTCATGCTGAGCTGCACGTCGCCCGTGCCGGGGAGATGGGAGGGACGACTGGAATAGTGGAGGGTGGGGGGAGGACGCGCACCTGAGAGGCGCACGCGCTGGCTCATGCTGAGCTGCACGTCGCCCGTGCCGGGCGGCATGTCCACCACGAGCACATCCAGCCGCCCCCACTCCGTCCCCCTTACAAGCTTCTCCACTGCCGCCATCACCATGGGCCCGCGCCACACGGCCGCCACGTCAGCAGGCATGAGGAAGCCCATGGACATGCAGAGCATGCCGTGCGCCTGCAGCGGCAGCATGCGCGCGTTGGGGGCAGCGGAGGCGAGCTGGGGGCGCCCGGCTGTGGCCAGGCCGAGCAGGCTGGGCAGTGAGGGGCCGAATATGTCCCCATCTAACAGCCCCACCTGCAGGCGCATGTGGCGTGAAAGGGCCACTGCTAGGTTCACTGCGGTAAAGAGGGGTGAAGGGGGGGCGTGGTACAGTGCAGGACGAGCAGGTTGGGCAGTGAGGGGCCGAACACGTCCGCGTCTAGTAGCCCCACGTGCAGGCGCATGTGATGCGCGAGGACCACTGCCAGGTTCACTGTGGGGGGAAAGAAAGAGGCACGGGGTGAGAGGCACGGGGTGAGAGGCACGGGGTGAGAGGCACGGGGTGAGAGGCACGGGGTGAGAGGCACGGGGTGAGAGGCACGGAGTGAGAGGCACGGGGTGAGAGGCACGGAGTGAGAGGCACGGGGTGAGAGGCACGGGGTGAGAGGATTTCAGGGCGAGGAGATTAGACAACGATAAAGAGGCATGCAGGGAGTTGGATGGAGTTAAAGGCGCCGAAGGAGAGGCACATGATGAGAGGCTTGGGGTGAAAAGCATTCCACGCGAGAAACAAGTCCTAGCCATAGGGGTGTAAGGCATCTGGGGAGGGCCATTCAGGTGGAGGAAGGAGGTGAGATGGATTGAGTGAGAGAGATTCTAGGAGAGGGACGGGGTGAGAGGAAGGTGGACATGCAGTGAAGGGACGGGGGAAGAGAATGGGGAAGGGCATGGGGACGGATTAGGAGATAGAGAGGGGGAGGCAAAGGGGGATGGGGAGTGAGGTGGAGGGGGGAGGGGGAGGGGAGGGTGGGATAGGATGTGTGGAGATGAAGCAGCGTGGGGCTCGGCGCTGCGGCGATGGGGCGCGCTGAGGCGGGGAGGCGGGGAGGCGGGGAGGCGGGGAGGTGGGGAGGCGGGGAGACGGGGAGGAGCACCGGCAGTGGTGGACTTGCCGACGCCGCCTTTCGCGGACGCCATCGCCACGATGTGCTTGACCCCGGGCAGCGATAAACTGTCGCCGCCGCCGCCGCCGCCGCCTCTGCTGTTTCTACCGGCGCTTCTGACGCTGCTGCCGCTGCTCACAGCCCTGCTGCTCCAAATACTCCTACCAGTGCAGCCTACACTCCCAGCAGTGCCGCTGCTGCATCCGCTGCAGGTAGTACCGCGGAAATCAGGGTGAATATACCGGTCCGGCTTGGGACCGGCGTGTGCATGCGATTCGCGCGGAGGAAGCGACCTGCCATGCGACTCTCGCGAAGCGGGCGAAAAGCCATGCGAATCTCTCAGCACAGTTTCAGAGGCGGTTTGCCAGCTCAATCGTCGAAGCCAGTCTTCGCCACGGCCGTGCGACGCGACGCTTCGACAGAAGCTCTTGCACTGCCGCAGTGCGAAACCGCTAGGCATGTTTCCTCCTCGCTACCAGGTGTGACGGTTGGGGGAACTTGCGTTTGCAGGGTGGTGTTTCCGCCTAGCTGCTACTGTGGCTTCAGGAAAAGATCAAGGGAAAATATGTCAATGGTAACTTACATCGAGCACTTTAACGCGTACGGTAACGATTTCAACGCGTTTGGTAACTCGCTTAACGCGTTTGGTAACTCGCTTAACACGTTTGGTAACTCGCTTAACACATTTGGTAACTCTACACTAGCAGCCCATCACGCGAATGGTAACTACATGAAAATCTCCCTGAAAATGAGGAATTTATCGAGTTTGAGAGCTTTTACGCACATCATTATCTTTCTTGAACGCGTCCCGCCACGAAAATTAAGGACCCCGTTTGTTCTATTACCACGGACCGAAAAGTTCAGAATTTATATATAATTATGTAGCTCGTACAAAAATGGATAACATCATATTTTGATAGCATGATTGCGAACTTGCAAAACGATAAAAAAAACTATTCCCGAAAGGACATAGGGAATTTTTTTTTTTTAATACTGCAACGTTGGAAGATTTTTTCATGTGGAAAAAAAACATTTTCAAAATTACATCTTTTTATTTTTTTTTTAATAAAGATCCATAAACGTCTGGTCGCAAGAAGTTTAAGGTTGTTGCTCTCAAATTTATTTGCCATCTGAAAGGGATATAGATTTGTTTGCCCCGGCTGCACGATAGAATAAAGTACAAACAGTTTGCGGAAAGTGCGCCAGAAACATTTATGTAAGAAAAGCTGTTTCAACAAAACTTACGTTTCTGTACTTTGCTTGAAAATCGGAAAGTGTGTCAGGATTTCGGAAAGTGTGTCAGAATTTCGGAACTTTGTGTCAGAATTTCGGAGAGTGTGTCAGAATTTTCTGCTTCAGGATTTGTCAATTTATTCTGACGCGAGCGGGAAAAACCAGAATCAGGCTCAATTTCGGTGGGAATTTCATGTAGTTACCATTCGCGTGATGGGCTGCTAGTGTAGAGTTACCAAATGTGTTAAACGTGTCAAACATTGTATGTTTATATTGTGTAGGCTGTAGTGGGTTACACCTTAGGGGGTACACAAAGTTAGGGTTTCCTACTTGTACCAAACTCTGTGCTAGTTCATTCCATTCCTGCTCAGTTATTCTGACATGGTTTCAGAGCAGGTCCTTCGCTAGGACTGTTCTCAGGGCCCACCGTACGATACCTACCTACCTACCTACTTACCGGAGCGCGTTCTTAGCGTCTCCCCCGTAGCGCCCTCGCGAGCGTTACCTTTTTTTTCCCGGCCCCGCTGGCCCCGTCGATTGCGATCGCACCTACCGGCCCCGTTGGCCCTCTAGCGAACCGCCCGCGCACCGCCCGCGAACCGCCCGCGCGGCCTGCACGCCGCCCGCGAACCGCCCGCTACCCGCTGCCGGCCCGCGCGCTGCTTGCGCGGCCCGCAAGCAGCCTGCTGCCGGCCCGCTGCTGCCGCTAGTGCGCACCCGCAGCCGCCGCCGCACGCACCCGCTGCCGGCCCGCCGCTGCCGCCCGTACGCACCCGCAGCCGCCGCCGCACGCACCCGCTACCGGCCCGCCGCTGCCGCCCGTGAGCACCCGCAGCTGCCGCCGCACGCCCTCGCCTGCCGGCCCGCCGCTGCCGCCCGTGCGCACCCGCAGCCGCCACCGCACGCGCTCGCTGCCGGCCCGCCGCTACTGACTGTCCGCACCTGCAGCCGCCACCGCACGCCGCTACTGCCGGCCTACCACCGCATCCCGTGCGCCCCTGCGACTCCTGCTAGTGCGTCTTTACAGCTACTGCGGCCCTACTTTGTTTACTGCTGCTGCTACTGCTACTATCGCTATGGCTAGCCCTCCCGTTCTAGCTTTCGACGCCGAGGGCCGTCCGGTGAAGTTCGACACCTGGCTCGATGACCTACACCTGTTCCTACAGCTCACGGCCAAGGAGGATATTTCTCTGTACGACCATGCTCTCGGCCACGCTACTGCCCCTCTTACTACTGCTCCCCCCACTGAGCGCTCACAGTGGCAGACCCGTGACGCGCACGCTCGCTTCGCCATACGCAACTCCCTGCCGCTAGATGAGCGCGAGCACTTCGGCCAGTGCAAGACTGCTAAGGAACTGTACACCGCTGTCGTTGCCCGCTACTCCTCACCCGCTTCTGCCACGCTAGGCCGCCTCACTCTCCCCTACCTGTTCCCCGACCTGGCCTCCTTTCACACTGTCGCAGACCTCATCACCCACCTTAAGACTAGTGAGGCCCGCTTTCGCGCTGCCATGCCTGACGAGTTCCTCGCTAGCAACCCCCCCCCGCTCTGGATCACTCTCTACCACATCGTCACTCGCCTCCCTGACTCTCTCCGCGCAGTCAGGGACCACTTCCTCTCTCGCTCCCCCACCGAGCTCACCGTAGCCCTCCTCGAGAAGGAACTGCTTGCAGCTGAGGCCAGTATCGTCGCTGTAGGCACCTCTCGTGGCGACCCTCGCGGCCCCTTCTTTGAGGGGTGTTCCCCTTCCCCCCTCCTCCCCTCTGTCGCCTCTGCTGCTGCTGTCGACCTCCTTGGTGCTGAGAAGGTCGGGACTGCGTCTGCTTCGGGCGGGCGCCGCAGGAGCAAGGGGGGCAGGGGTGGGGGTGGCGGCGGAGGAGGCGGGGGTGGAGGTGGTGGCGGTGGAGGCGCGACTGGGGAGGCTAGTGGCGGTAGTGGGGGAGGTGACAGCAGCGGTGGGAGTGGTGGCAGGGGCGGAGGCGGCGGCGGAGGCGGAGGTGGTCGTGGCAGCGGCAGGGGTGGAGGTGGCCGGGGCGGAGGCGGAGGAGGTGGTGGTCGTGGAGGCACGGGCGGAGGCCAGAGTCAGCAGCCTTCCCCGACGCTTCAGGCCGCCCGTGAGTGGTATGCGCAGCGCGGTTTTACCTGCACGTATGTTATTCGCACAGGCGACCGCACTGGCCAGACGTGTGGGAGACCGCACCAGACGCAGCGCTGCTTCGCGCGCCTCAACGACGCGTGGCGCACCCAGTTTCCTGACGCCACTGAGCTGCCGCGCTGGGCTGATCTGGAAAAGAAGGGTGTTGATATCTGGGCTCTAGACTTTGATGCTATTCTCACTGCCATGTATGCAATGTCTATTAGTGGAGAGGGTGCTCAGTACTTGCGTGTTCCGCCCGACCCGGGCATTCAGGCCAGCCCAGCTGCTGCTCTAGGTGCTAGTGTGTCTGCTCCCACAGGTCCTGCTGCAGCAGCTGCCCTAGGTGCTAGTGCGTCTGTGCCCCCTGGTACTGAGTCGACTGCTGCACTGCACACCTTCACACTGGACTCAGGTGCTTCTCGCTCTTTCTTTCGTGACCGCACTGTCCTTGAGCCACTAGCTCGGCCGGTTGCTGTCTCTCTTGCTGACCCCTCTGGGGGTCCGGTCATTGCGACCTCCTCCACTACACTTCCGTGTCCAGCGGTTCCGTCCGGCACGCTCTCAGGTCTCTACCTCCCCTCGTTCTCTACGAACTTGGTGGCGGGCTGTGCTCTGCAGGACGGGGGTGTTCACCAGTTCACCCCTGCCTACGAGCGTGTGACACATTGCACGTGTGCTCGGACGGGCCGCCACCTGGCTACTTTCACTCGGGAGCCGGGGTCGGACCTGTACACACTGACCACTGCGTCCCCTCAGGTAGCTGCGTCTGCGTCTGCGTCTGCGTCAGGTCAGCTGTCCGCCCCCTGCTCATGTCGCTCTCTGGCGCATGAGACTGTCCTCTGGCACCACCGCCTTGGTCACCCGTCTGTGCAGCGCCTTCGGGCCATGCACAAATGGGACCTTGTTGCTGGTCTTCCCAGGGTGCTCCCTCCCCTTCCCGACTCCCCTGCTCCTGACTGCATTCCCTGTGTCGAGGGGCGGCAGCGCGCCGCTCCTCACTCCTCCTCCTTTCCCCCGACGACTGCTCCCTTGCAGACGCTCCACATGGACGTGTGGGGCCCAGCCCGCGTCCGTGGTCAGGGTCAGGAGAGGTACTTCCTGATAGTTGTTGACGACTACTCGCGCTACACCACGGTCTTCCCCTTGCGCGCCAAGGGTGACGTCCCTGGTGTTTTGATCCCCTGGATCAGCCGAGCCCGTCTCCAGCTAGGCAAGCGCTTTCACTCGGACTTTCCTGTCCTGC